AAAATTTTTCTTATCCTCTAACATAGGTACATGATATAAGTTTTAACCAAAAGACACATACAGGGAATGTGGCAGGATATGTAGGTCTACCTAGTGTTGTGTCCTTTGCATGCGTGTCTGACTTGTTCCATTTGGATTTAAAAAGGGTGTTAATAGATAGGGCCTAACAATGAAGATTCAGGATGTTGATTTTCTGGGGCCGTAGCGATAGTCCGAAGGTTCAGTAGTCCGAAGGTTCATTGGTCCGAATGTTCACTATAGAACCTTCGGACCAATGAACCCTTGATTAAAAAATCGATGAAAATGTTACCACTTTTCGGACCAATGAACCTTCGGACCAATGAACCTTCGGACTATCGAGACGCCCCCGATTTTCTGATGGAGCAAAACATAATATTCTGTCTTTGTACTTATCTGATATATACTGCATCAAGTCTTCTGGTTGCAAGCATGTTACAAGGGGTGCACTTGTTTCTGTAACTTCGTCTGTAATATTATCTAAAAAATATAAGAACAATAACCCTATTTATCAAAATATTTTATGTAAATGTAGGTCTTTGTTAGTGTTTGTATATATTCTCATTGGTCTGTCTATCTGCGTCGTTGCTGTTGCCGTTACCGTCAGGCACATGACATATCCCATAACTGTCCAACTGTATTTTTGTCTTATTTGAAATTTACAGAGTGGCTTTTTTGGTTAAGAAGCAGATTGCAAATTTCACTTATCACAGAGAGGTAAAACAACATATCATGGAGCCGTGGATAAAGTTATGTTTGCAAAGTTTAAGCAATAACTAATTTAAAAGCAGATATAGCATTGAAGATAAGTCAATCCTGTACAAATGTCCTTTTTACTTCAATGTATTTTCACTATAATTACTTTATTTCTGGCAACTAAGGGCCAAAGTCTAGTGCCCATTCTCTTCTAGATATGGCCTGTGCAATCTTCTTTAGTAATCTCAATGTCCGGACCATAAGGCTGCAGTAGATGGACACTCTGGAAGGCTGAGCTGTCCCCATCCCCTACAAATTGATTGTAGCGTAACCAATAAAGTTCCATGGAATGACTGTATAAAACAAAGGCACCCTCAACTTCCATGGCCTGGGTCAAGCCTTCGTGGTTGTGAGGGCACTCCTGGAAGTGTTTCAGTTGAAAGTCAACCTCTTCCACCGTGGTGTGGGGCAGCTTTTGAAAATTGTCACATGTCCAACACATGGTACACATATAGTGAATGTCCAGAATGTCTCCCATATCCACTGAAATTGCAGCTACAAATCCATGTTTAGACATGTTTCTGGTTTGCCAGGAACCATCCAAGGTAACCCCACAGTCCACAATTTCTCCTGGATTGACATTGCTTCCTTGGAGGACCTGCTTTACGCGAAGCGCGGTGCCATCCATTCTCTCCAGAGCTCTCTCCCTGGTGCGGTAGCCTTAGGCCTGTGTGTGGAGACGCCAACTGTTGTTTGCTACTGGAGCCGGCATGGAGAGGTATGCTGAAAGCTTCTCAGCAGAAGTGTTCCCTCTTCAGCAAAAGTGTTCCCCCACGTCTTCTCTCTGCTTGCTTCATTGTGGGCCGTCCTCGTGGGGTGGGCTCAAAGCTGACCGATTTCTGTGGGTTTTCTAACAGATTGATGCGATGCATCAAACTTTGGATTATGCTGCCTTCCGCAGTAGCTGTAGTTGCTAATGCTGTCCTGAAGTTTACTTCCACCAAGGCTGCTGCTTGGTGAAGTTCAGCCATTGTCTGTACCTGTTTTTGTATTATGAAGGGCAGGATTTCAGGTCTGAGTCCATTGATGCAGGCACAAATTAGGCTATTTTCATCTGGCGTTGTGTTCCTTCTTAGTTTCCTCATCCTTGTGAGAAAATCTACAGCAGTCTCTGTTTCTCCCTGTTTTTGGTGAAACAGCTCTACAGTTTTTTTGTAGCTTCATCTGCTGTGTCTGTTGGAAGGAATTAAGAAATTCTTCCTTAAACAAGCCGAAGTCTTTTCTAACTCTTTCTGGCAGAGTTTGAAACCAAATATCTCCTCAATAAAATCTGTCTTAATTTCTTCAAAAATACAATGTAAAAATGGTTCTTTTTTTTAAATGTAACAATAGTCACTCACCTGATAAGGGAAAAGACTTCTAGAAAAGCACTTTCGCTAGAAGATTCATAGGGCCAGACAATTTTTACTGTGAATGCAGATAATCAGTAATCATGACAAAAATTTTAATATCCATGACCTCACCACCTTTTCGAATTACATTTTAGAAGCTTTACACTTGCAACTTATGTGAATGACACAGGACCTAGCCCCTTAAAATGTTTCGCTATCCAATGAACTTTACTTCAAGTTCATTGTTTTTTATTTCTCACCCACTTCCATGGAGATGTGGTGCTTCAATCCACTGCTTGGTAGCAGATCTGTGGATTTTTGTTTGATAATTTGATCTCTCAGTATACAAATTCAGAGGATCTTGGGTTAGAGGCATTCTCTGCTCACTTGGGGTTGACAAGCAAAATATGTTCAGAACCTGGCCTCATTGACATTACTAGCTGCCTTCTGGATATAAAGATTGCAGACAAATTGTTCCATCACTTTTGATTTTCTTTCTGCAACTGCGAAGACTGCCCAAAGACAGGAGAAAGCCTCTATGAAGTCACTATTGCCATAATTCATGTATATATCAAAAACTTTCCTCTCTCCTTTCCCCAAAAAAGGGTTGCAGACAGTTAGAAGCACTGGAAGTTTTGGTATGCCAAGCATTGAATATTTGAATTCACTAAATGAGAATAGAATTAATGATTTTTTTAAGTGTGTGGATGTTTCGATGTAACTTTGCCTGCCTTAAACATAGCCAGCCATCCTGTGTTTTTCAGCAGTTCCTCCAGTTAGTCCATGTATTGAATCTTTGTAGGAAAGTGTGGGTAGTCCTGCCAAAGATTTTGTCTGTTCTCTACTGATACTGGACTGAGCTGGGACGTCCACAGCTGGCTTCTCCCAGACTCAACCATCTGTATCTATCACAACATTTCTTGGTGGGTCTGATTGATACACCTAACTGTAAACCTGTTAATTTAAAAATATATATGTAAGTACAAAAGGTTTTACATATACTTTGTTGAATACAATCAGTCCTAAACAAACACATGCATCAAAAAATAAAGAATAATTGTTGACAATGTATTTTTTTTCTTCCAACACAATGTTTCAGGCACCAAACAAATTTTGTACACACCAGTCACAGCCGAGTTGTCCATTGTATTGTTTGCAGTTCCTTACCAAAGCACGTGCAGAGCTGTCTGTGCAACAGATGAATGGAAATACGTTGAACCCCTTGAAAACTGAAAGCATTTTCTCCTAGTTGTGAGCTTTCATCGATGACAGGTTTTAAAAATCTATTCATATTGTTGGGCTTGCTATGTCCAAACGAGACCAATTAAAAGAACACTTTCAGAGTGAAGATATGGATGAAGTTCATTTATGAAACACTGCCCTGGGGGGGGGGGGGGCATAAAAAGAATGTAATTTAAATTTAGATAGTCAACCAAATTCTCATGACACCGTTGTGTATGTCTCAATAACATATCAAAGAAGCTGCATGAGCAAGGGAAAAAAAAGAAAAAGCAGAAAGTATATCAAAATTACCATCAAAATGGCATCTATTTCTGTGGAATTCCGACCCTACCGCTTTTTAGGAACAGTTTGTTTAGGGTTTGAATGGATGATTGAAGCAGGAAATACGCCTACTGCAAGAAAATATATTTAACAGAACGTGCGAAAGGTTATTTAAATAAAAAATTATTTGAAGTCACTGAAAAATGATCACAAAATTACCTTCACTAATGTTACATGATGTGTCCCAGCCCAATGAAAACTTCATCTAATCCTGTCTTTCCATATTAAAACTCTTCAATGCGTCCTAAGTAGTCTGTCGGTTAGCTTGTGTCATGAAGTCCATGCTATATCAGTTTTCTTAAAAATTTCACATTTGTTGCTGAACAAGGTCGATTTTTCTTCATCGTGTCCCATGTAGTGTTAGTTATGCAGGTCCAGTCTAAGTCTGCGTGACAGCAATCAAGACAGTTAATTACTCTGACTTCAATCACTTGCTCTTCTGTGACAGATAAAAAAGCCTTAGACTGGTTGTGTAACGAGCAGTTATCACATTGTTGTGAAGCTCAGCTCATGCAGAGCAAGTACAAAGCCTTTGGCGCGTGCGCAGAGATAATTGTTTCCACATGGGATTTCTCAACAGGGTGAGTTGAGCCCTAAATGACCATCTATCTAGCTAGAGACATATCTGTGAATATCTGTAAAAAATCTATCACTCGCCCTGGTAGAGGGTAGGTTATTATAATGAACTTTGTTAATAATACAACTAACATGCTATATGTTTGGCTCTTTGTTAATAAAACGTTGAAAGCAGCAATGCAGAATTTGAAATTTTGTTTTTTATTACAGCTGACAGATTCATTCCCTTTGCCAACCACACCCAGCTGCCATTTGTTAATTCCAACACTACAGTGAAGTCTTCATTCATCTTTCCTAAGTATGGAATTCCCATGTATGATGGCCAGATATTTCCATCTCTCTATGTAAGTGTATGTTTTCACTAATAAGGTATACTGGTACTCTCTTAAAATGCTGTTCAGCATTTTAACATTCAGATTTTCAAAGAGAATGAATTTTTTTTAACAAGTTGATAAAATGATCATGATGAATTTACACATGCACCAATGTAAAGTTAGTGCTAAATGCAGTACATTAGGGGAATCAATAAAGGTTCCACAGAATTTCATGAATGTTAGTTGAACTGTACCTACCCTCATATTACAGTTTGTCCAGCATGGAGTGATAGCCATCTCCTCAGTGACCAGGGACGAGGCCGTGGCTGACCCAGTGAGAAGAGACTTCAGAACGGCCCCCAGTGACCCCCTGATGAACTTCACCTTCCAGTCAGACTTCCAAGAAAGAGCCATAGTGGCCCCATTCTGGACAACTCTCTACATGTCTGACCAGAATGTAAGTGAGAATTATGAATTATGCTACTCAGAATTGTGATTATTATAAAAAAAAGACTGAAAATGTCTCGTACCCAAGAGGCTTGATGTTTTATATGTTCTAAGAAAATGTGGAATACAACTGGCTTGTCAATGCAAGTAAGGTAGCAAACATGTTTAGTCTCTCCAGAAACAATTTACTTCTATAAGTACCCCGTAATTTTATTCTTAAAGTTGATATAGAGATGCATACCTGTTGAATCATGTTTGTGTGCAAAAAGAAAACTCAATTAATGTATTGGAAGCAGCACTTGATTTTTTGAAGGAAATCTGTTACAGTAATAAAAAACTATTGTAGGCTGGACGAGGCGTATACTACAAGGAATACAGCATAGATACTGCTGCTGACCAGTCAGCCCTGGAGAAGATCAGTGACCTGGTCAACAAGAAGGGGGTGGGCTATGCTTTCCAGGCCCAGTACATGTTGGTTATCACGTGGTACAATATGCAACACAAAGTCAACCAACTACAGGTAGGAGGTTGATGATTTGCTAAATGAGTCTTCTCAGTGTTCTTTTTGTTTTGAAATCCTTTTCATTAAGTCAGTATTTTAGATAGCATAATCGTAATCTGCATCACACATGTACCAATTCTACCTCTGCATTCTTGCCAATATACTGTACTAGCTAATGCAGTTGTAGTCTGCTCAGTTTTGGCAAGAATCTCAAAGGCCATTGGTGTGACATTAATTTTGTCAACTTCAGTAGTAATACAAATGAGCTATTTCTTTTAAAAGTTTCTCTCCCAGACAAGTTGGAGACATACCTGTAGACATAAAACTGTAAAGAAAAGGAGTTACCGTAGTTTTACTCAACAGAGATTTATTTCTGTACACTTTCAATAAGTACTTAGCAAAAAAGCACAGTAGTGTTATACGTGAAGTTCATCATTGGTACTTAAATATTTCTTATTATTTCTTTCTGTTTCAGACTGTGTCTATTCAGGCAGTGTTGGTGACTGACTATGTGAACAGTGCAGTGGTGTACACCTATGCTGACAGGGACATGAACTGGAGACTGACTCTGGACCCAGCTAACAAGGTAGTCTTTTCTATAGATAGTTGTAATATTCCTCATAAATAATATACATACTGTATTAGAGCTCGAACAGAAATAATGCCATTAAAACATTTTTTTAGGAAAATGGAATAAACTACCTGCAATCATCCATTGCCAATAGATTTAATCTGATTTTAGTCATTTTTCTTATTTGTTCCATCTCTCATATTAACTAGTAAATATCCTCTGGCTATATTGATAGATATGAAGTGATATTCTAAAACTGCTTTAGTTGCTTGTCAAATCGACTTTTGATTGACTGCATTCTCATTTCACAGTAATGGAAAATAATGTCAAAAGGTAACGCAACAATTGAAATTCAGTGTTAATTGTCAATTGAGTGTGAATGCCACAAAAAATTCTCCTCAAAATTTTCATCATTATTCTGGTTTGTATAACAATCTTAAACACACGGTCACCCAATGCATTTTATATGGTATATATTCCCTTTTCCAGCCAAACTATCCTGTCAGGGTTGGCTACCTTGTCAGAGGCAATGCACAGAGACAGGAAGAATATGCCTACTCCTATGCAACCATCGGTGATCAGAGTCGCATGGAACTGATTGATGCAGAGAATGCCACGGGGACTGGAGATGGTGTCTTTGTCTATGTCCTCAGCAGCAACAACCAGGGGAGTTTTATAAACCCTGGTGTGGCTTGCAGTGATTGGATAAAGGCTGATGATTTGTATGATGCGCAAAATTCACCCATTGCTGCAGGTAGGGTTAAAATTGAAAGGATTGTGGTGTGTGTGATTTCATCTGTACAAAAGTTCATAGTTGAGTGATTGTGTTTCCAAGGGTGTTATAACTGATATAAAAACCGCAAAGTTTTTCAGGAACATGTAAAATAAAGGTGTACCTTAAAAATTGTTGTCTGCAATTATTATATATTAAGTATACAATTTTTATATGAAAATGTAGATGGTATAATACATCCATTTATGAAGAACCAAAAGAAAATCATGAGAACTATGTTATTTTAGATAACACCTGTTTTATTTATGTGCACAGGTAAACCAGGCAGGTGCCCAGGAGGCCTTAACCAACTCACTCAGAGCTGGTCAGCCAACCCTACACAAGTCATAGATCAACTGGTGGTCCAGTGTTACCAACTGGCATTTCCTGAAGGTTCGGGCATTGTCTCGGAGACCCCCAACTGCTGTTACTACACCAACACCTCAGCCAATGGAGCTCTGGCCATGGCGCTGGTGTCGGATTGGAAATTTATGAACGGAGGGAATATCTATCGCAGGTTTAATCCAAGTACTTCCCAAGGTCAGGCTGAGGCAGCGGCGTTCACCCAGTGTTGTATTAGCAGTACTGTGCATTGCAGTGATTTCCTCCTGAAGAGACCCATGTCTGATTCTTCTAGTTTTGTGCCTCCTGGTCAAGGTATTTGATTGATGTTTTATGCATATATTTTAAATAATCAAGAGTTTTGCCAGAAAGTTTGAAAATTTTGTGTCTTTTTATCACATAATGGTATCCAAGTGTCATAAAAGTATTGAATGCAGCTTTTAATCTGCGATTTTTTATAGACAAAAATCTACTGAAAATAATGATTGTATTTTGCTTCTCAACTGTATTCATCATGATCATATAATAATATAATTATTATAGTAGAAGTACAGCATTGACCCGTAGTTCATTGTTAATTTCATTCTCATTTATACATCCTTGATTATTTCATTTTAAGTTTATTACCATTCTCTCCATGGGTTTTCAGCTCTCTCTGCAGGGGACCCCCATGTGACCACCCTGGATGGTCTCAGCTTCTCATTCAATGGCTACGGAGAGTACACCGTGGTCACCGGAAACCATTTCACCCTGCAGGGCCGCACCGCCCTAGCAGTGACAGACACGCCCCCTGCCCGAGCCACCGTGTTCAACTCGTTTGCTGCGAAACAGGTGGTGCCAGGGGGCACTGATAGTGATGTGGTGGAGCTCAGGCTGAATTCTACCACTGGGAGTGATATTGGTAAGTGGGTATTGATTGATCTGGGCATGGAGTGGGGGATTGGTCCCTTTTATGGTGGCAGGTACATTAGTAGAATGGTGCACAGTGTACAATGTATGCATAGTTAAGATAAGTTCTTACAGTTTGGAAATTGACTGGTATGATTAAAAACATAAGTACACTAAGCAATTTAATCATATTTTATGATTCTGGTACATGTATGTTAAAATAATGTACATAATTAAGTTGCACAATTTCTTAGTATGGCATGGTATGATTTATGGGATTGAAAAAAAAGAATTTTTGGTCATTTTATATTTATTGATTGTATTATGCTTAATAAGATAATATTAACCAGCTTCTTCTGGTATTCCAGATGTCCTAGTCAATGGAGTTATCCAGAATGTAGACTTCAGCAGCACTCAGCTCTATAACAAAGTCAGTGTCACCAAGAATGGCGTAGAATACTCCATGGTTTTCTCGTCTCAGGTTGAGGTGAAGACTTCAGCCAGTTTCAACATGACCACCATCTCTGTAGCTGCTCCTGCTAGCTGGAAGGGAACTCTTTCAGGTGACTAAATTACATGTGATTTTAGAGATATATATGTAAAAAAAATGTCTTTTTCCTGGAAATGTTTTGTAGTACATTTTTGAAGTATTTATTGCTATACTGTTTGTAATTAGTATTTTGTCACAGGTTTTGCTGTACAGTTGTTCTTTCTTACGGTAGCTAATCATATATGTGTACCAAAGTTAACTTTCTTGAGTCCTGAACTTATCACGTAAATTTGAATGCAGAATCAAAAAAAAAAAAAAAAAAGTAAAGTTGTTAATTAAATATAGGGAGATCTTGTCACTGATTTTATACATTGGTGAAAACGTACGGTGCCACGTTTTAATAATTCAAAATTTGATATTAAGACAAGCCTCATAATAGCTATACATTGTACCATGCTGCTGTCCACGTTTTAAAATGCAATATGTACATCATAACTTCATCTTTATCTTGTACTTACAGGTTTACTTGGTAACTTTAATGACAACCCTGCTGATGATATCAAGTTTTCCAATGGCACACAGCTGCCGTCCAACTCAACTGAAGAAGAACTTTACTACTGGGGACAAACTTGTACGTAATAGAAATCAATGTGTGTGTGTGTGTGTGTGTGTGTGTGTGTGTGTGTGTGTGTGTGTGTGTTCCCATGCGTGTGTAAGTACATTAATCATGGTTGAGATGAAAATTCTAAAATTTTTGATTGACTGGGTTTTTAATTACATTTTAAAATATGCAAATTTTGCAGGTATTTAAGATTTCTGATATTTCGATAATAATTAAACTATTGTAATTTACGTTAGAAAAATTTATAATAAAAATTTTCTCATTCTAGGGGCAATTGATCCTGCCCAGTCCCTGTTTACTTATGAAAATGGCGTGACAGCGCAGACTTATGGAAATGACAGCTTCACTCCACTGTGAGTTTTCTTTTCACTCTTTCTGTAACCTTTTAAATTTAGAACTGTTTAAATAATGTATCTTACCTATGATACCATTTTGATTCTCAGTTATACTTTGCTGTATTGTTACATAAAAAATAATACAGAATTATTATAATTTAGTTTTATAACATTTGATTCATGTACAAATAAGACATATTGATCAAACTTTTGTAAAGATTATTATCCATCTGTGTTATTTCAGGTTTTTCAACTTGGACACCATGTTTGCAGACAATGCAACTAAGTGGTCTGCCATCAGTGCATGTGGTGGTATGGCCAACCTGAACAGAGAATGTGTGTACGACATCGCCCTGACTGGAAATGAAGCTGCTGGTGTTGCCACGGCAAGCTCTCAGACGCAGTTTGCAGAGGAGAAGGCTGCTGTAGGTGAGTGGAGCATTTTCAGAGGTTGAGAACTGGAAAGAACTCCAAGAACAGATCTCCGTCAAGGCTAATAACAAAAATAGGTAGAAAAGGGATATGCCACAGCACAAGACTTATTTCATTAAAGAACATTTAGGTTTGATTTGATTGACATATCTTTGAAATTAAATTAAGTGATTAAAAATTTTTCAACTGGTAAAAAAGTAAATCATTTAAAAAGAGAAAAAACGTGTTTTTTTTAAATTATGACTCATAATATTAACTTCATTACATCATTTTACCATCCTTACACAAGAGACAGAAAAACTATTTGTTGGGCTATTTCAGGCTATTTTAAATGCTATTTCACCATATTAATCAAAGGAGTGATCATTTTTTAATATATTATCCCACTGCTTTCAGATAACTTCCCGCCCACCATCAACAACAACAACACAGTACTGTACCTGGTTGCAGGACAGAACATGGCCACTAACATCACCATCAGTGCACAGGACCAGAACCCTGCTGATACTGTCTCATTTAGCCTGGCATCCCCTGTGCCAACTGGTAAGTAATTGGTATCATTACAGTTACAAACTTTTACAGGATTTTAAAATGAATTTGAGGCATGCATGTATGGCATAAACATTTGATCAGATATTGAGTGATGTCCTTGTCATGATGGCCTGTGTAAGATGATTCATTTTGTGAATAGAGAATATGAATAAGGAAATTTACAAGTCATAAAAAAAGAAAATTTCAAACTTTGTCATTTTCTTTTTTATCACTTGTACATTTTATAAGTTTCAGTTGTATCTTGGCTAGTCAAAATTTAATATGGGTGATACATAACAGTTTTTATCTGTAGCAAAGCCAAACAGATCTACAAGTGGTACATGTAGTGGTCTTCTTCTGCTGCTGCTGCTGCAGCTGATATTTTGTTCTGAAGAATGCATTTGGCACAATTACTCAATAGCACAACTACCACACTCAGTCTCACATTTGATCTTTTTGCTGACACAAAACCAAGGTGTGACAGGAACATCTCTTCCAATGGTCCAATTTCTGCCACAGGTGCTGTTAGGTCCACTCTTTGTTCTGTAATCCAGATTTAGTATTTTTGTCTCAAATAAAACATTTATATCCTTCAGGAGCTGTGATCGGTAGCAGTAGTGGAGAACTTGCCTGGAGCAGTGTACCTACCACCCTGACCTCCAATACCAGCCTGAAGATCATAGCCTCTGATGGCAAGGCTAACACTGCCCTGCTGCCTAAACTCTTTTACTGCAAGTGCCAGGTAAGTTTGATTTCTTTTTGCTCCTTTTTAAAATGTTGATATAAAACCTGAAAATGCTTTCTCTCATAGTAGTTTTTTTAATTAAGATTTATGTCATAGTCATTATATTTAATTGACTTAATTGACCTTGACTTTCTTCACTAGTGACAAAGATTAATTGAGAATTGGCAGTATACTTATAGACATGCCCAAGGAGACACATAGCAATTTATGTAACCTACCAGTACTGTTTATGCATTCAGTAATTAACAGCATCCTCCAAAACACAATAACTTAGTCTTCCCTTTATTTTTTCATTCCAGAATGGAGGCACATGTAAATTCAACATTGAGAGTACAGACTTGTTCACAGAGGTGCCCTGTGAGTGCCCGTCTGGTCGAGAGGGGAACTACTGTGAGAGGGACATAGACGGCTGTGCTGATAACCCATGTTTCACTGGTGTGGCGTGTGTGGATGTCGCTGCACCAGGCACTGGGTTCCAGTGTGGTCCGTGTCCCCTGGGACTGGTGGGAGATGGCTCAGTGTGCTCAGGTTAGTGAGGACTTTACTTTCACTTGTTGAGTTTAGACATTGTCATGGTTATTCTGTGTTGAGGAAATGGCCAAAGACATAATAATAATAATAATAATAATAATAATAATAATTATAATTATAATTATAATTATATTGATGATGATGATCAAATGGTATAAAATACTTTTAAATACTTTAAATTAATTTAATCATATAATGCTTGATATTTGGAGACTGTTTTTATTTCTGAAACTTAAAGTTTCTTAATTTCTCTTCTCCTCTCTCTATTGTTCTCTTTCTCTCATTCACACAGATGAAGATGAGTGCCTTAAGACCCCGTCCCCATGTGCCCAGACCTGCAGTAACCTGCCAGGCAGCTACCAGTGCTCTTGTGGAGGTGGATATATCCTGGGGCCTGATCTCACCACTTGCCTGGGTAAGAAAACGAATGCAGAACTTTGAAAGTAGGATCAAATATGAAAGACATTGCAGTTTTATATGAATGATGAATTTTTCTCAGGTCATGATAGAAAAAGAAAAAAAATCTTAGCTTAATTGTGATTAAAATTTTATATTCATAGGGTACACTTGTCTACAGAATAATATTGTTAGATAGTTAGATAAAAAGGTAAAATAAAATATTGTAGTACATGTTTTAAAACATTAAATGTGTTCCTGCCAAAGGCATGGTGAAATTTTATCTGAAGGTTCATAAGCAGTTAGTTTACATAGTGTTCATTTTCTTTAACTTCAAATATTTGGTTTTAAATATTTTTCAGATGTTGATGAATGTTCACGTGGCACCCACGACTGTGACTCCAATGCTGCCTGTAACAACACAGTGGGTTCTTATATCTGTACCTGTAATACTGGCTATACTGGCCTTGGGACAACTGGACAATGTGATGGTTAGTGTGGACACTGGCCTTGGGACAACTGAACAGTGTTATTGTAATTTATTATTGCTCAATACATATAGTTAAAAATTGAAACTATTGGTTTAAAGATTCCTTTCATAAGAAAAATGTGTACAATAAATGTCAGAGACAGTGTCATGCAGACATGAATACAATGAATTGAATGTTACTTAAGTTTTGCCATATTAACTTGTTATTCTGCAGATATAAATGAGTGTAGTGCCAGTCCCTGTCAGGCCAATGCTGTGTGTACCAACCTGGTGGGCAGTTACAGGTGTGATTGCTCTCTGGGATATGAGCTGGACCCTCTTACTGGACAGTGTACTGGTCAGTAACGCTATGTATGGGAAAGTGATAGAGAAACAGTTGAGATTTTGGATCCATGTTTTAAAAATTGAGCAGATAAAATGGCATTTGTTTTATTAAAATGGAAACCAAAATTAAATATTATCCTACTCTTTTTCAAAGAGAGCACAGGGTAATCAAAAATCGTACTGAAGATTAGGCTAAGAGTATGTACTTTAAAATGGATGCAAGTTAGAATTGGAATCATTTTTTTCCATTCTGTTTCAGAGATTGATGAGTGTACCCGTGACAACACGTGTCAGCAGACATGTACAGATGGTGTGGCTACATATACCTGTGGTTGCAACACTGGATTTGTCATTGATACCACAGATCAGGTCACTTGTATTCGTAAGTGACCTTTTATAAATAATTATATCATTTACCATACTGCAAAACTTTTAAAATTTATTATGATGATACCATATTTTAATTATTAAAATAAACAATTAAATGTTTTTTTATAAAAATAAAGATATATGACAGACAATGCTTTCCAACATTTTTTTTTTTTTTAAGTCCACCAGGTCAAATTGAAAAATTATTCTCTTTTCCTAGACAAGAAATCTGTAGTAAATTATTATTTATTTTTTTGCTATTGTAGCTGAGCAGCAGTGTAACAGTGCCCAGAATGCCACCTGTGACTACACTGGGGACGCAGCCCCACTGTGTGCTGTCATTCAGGGAGAGGTGACATGTAACTGTCCACCCAAATATACGGCTACTGCTGACAAGAAATGTGTTGGTAAGATTATGAAAAACTGAACGTTGAGGTTGATTTTTTATGCGTAAGTTGTGAGTCAAGGAATTGATAATTTCTTGATTATAGTCAGAATTTAATTAACTTAGCCCAAATGGGTTGCCACTGCAAGCAAACGAAATAATAATAATAGTTTTAATTAAAAGAAAAAATTTTGATTAAAAATACAATCACATTTTTCTTTTTTATCTATGATAATGAAGAGTGTGCCTGCCTAGCACATTATTATTTTTTTTTTCCAGACATAGATGAGTGTTCTGGCGCCCACCTGTGTCGGCCAGCCTCAGTGGCTAGCTGTGTAAACACTGTGGGAGACTACACCTGCAGCTGTGGCACTGGCTACAAACTGGATGTAGATGGAAGAACTTGTGTTGGTGAGTGACACATGTAGATGTATGTATTAATGTTCTAGTTTTTATTCTCAGGCCTGTAGACTGCATCCACTAACTGCCCTTTAAACTGGAAAATAACTACTGTGAATCAAAAGTGATTCCAAATAGCTACTAGTACAAATATGTTTCCTAGTAAAAAGGATCAATGAATCAGAATTAGACCCCTCTTTGTAATTGCTGGCTACAGACCAGATTATGCTATGTCAATTTGTAATTTGAGGGCATTATGATATGGTATATTGAAATCTAATACTTTATTCTATAACTCATCAAATTAACTTCCAGGTGTAATGCGAAAGTATTTGTTAAGAGATTCTTACTCTGGGTAGCTATATATAGACTATTTTAGATAATGAACCAAAAGGTATATCCAGCTTTTGCTATCACAGATGGTCAATGTACATAACAGAAAGAGGAGAAATAAATGACCTTCTGATATTTTCATTAAACATTAACATTTCCCATTCATTTCTTGTCAGATATTGATGAGTGTACTGAACTGTCCAGTGGGAGCCCCATGCACAACTGTGACCTGACCCGTGGCTACTGCAGTAATTCAGTGGGCAGTTTCTCCTGTGGCTGCAATGCTGGCTACAATCTCAATGCCACTGGAAATGGTTGTGAAGGTGAGACAATTGATTTTAAATTAATGGCCAGATTTACATATGAATATAATCATAGATACCTTTACTTCTCCAATTATTGATATATCATTGTTGCTGATAGTAAATTTGTGTGGTTTCAACTGTAAAGGGTACTTTTTGGATATAAAAGCTAAAACGGTATTATTTTTATCTCAGATAAGAATGAGTGTGCTTCTCCCACCACTAATGACTGTAATGCTGACTATGCCAACTGTACCAACACCTTGGGTAGTTACACCTGCACTTGCAAGACAGGCTTTACTGGGGATGGTGTCATCTGTGCAGGTAGGAAAAGATTTTATTTCATTTCGTCCTTTAAAAAACTCTTGAAAATTTTACACTTTAATTATGAATCATTATTTCCCTAGTGTTTATTTTTTGTTCAGAGAAAATAACATTATTACAACTTTCAAAAAGAAAATTTACCTTAAGTTGTATTAAATTTTGATACAGTTACAATCCTGAGACTTAAACACACACACAAAAAAGAATGATAATGATTTTAAAAAATTACAATATGATTAAAAATATCTATGATATCACATTTGGTAAATAAAACAAAAAAAAAGAATGATAATGATTTTAAAAAATTACAATATGATTAAAGATATCTATGATATCATATTTGGTAAATGAGCTTTTTTTGCATAGCTTACTATAAGCACAACCAGTATAAAAACAATCAGGTTTGCTGTTTTCTCCATATTTCTAAGTAATGCTACATGCTTTCTCTTCAGATCTAAATGAGTGTGGTCTTGCAACCCGTGGTGGCTGTGCCCAGGGATGCTCCAACAGCATCGGTTCCTACAGCTGTTTCTGTGGCAACGGCTATTTACTAGACGCCAATGGATTAACATGCAATGGTGAGAATTGATTTTGATTATTTTGAAACTAGAATACATTAAGGTGTGTTCATGCCTATTAATTAATGTTTTAAGGCATTGTTAGGAGTTGCTAAAGGGAGGAATTTCATTGACAAAGAAAATTTTTACAAACCACTGTCATAAATTGATATCATCCAAAATGTTTTTTTGCAATAATTTGGAACTCAATTTAGAGTGCTTGATCATGAAAACTAATAGCAGACATTTTCCTATTACTTATTCAGATTATGATGAATGCAGTCGTGAAGCAGACAATGGCTGTTACAGCAGTCAGTACTGTACCAACACAGTGGGCAGCTACACCTGCACTTGTCCCGTGGACTTTATCCTGTCCTCTGATGGAAAGACTTGTACTGGTGAGTTCACCATGGATTTTTAAAGCATGCAATCCATGTTTGACTTTCTTGTAATAAAATAATGAATATTCAGGGGCTGACAGAGGCCGTTTTCTGGGTATTCTGAAGAAGGCCAAAAATGAAGGATGGATCAACAAAGATCATTTGGAAGACTGTCAGAAAATATTGCCAGAACTGCTCCTGATATTGCTGGAAATTTCAGCAATTTTCATCTTATCACAAAGGTTATTCCTTATCCAAAACTGCTGAGGTCTGGGGTGAAATTCAAAAGTCTCTCTATTATAAGAATCATTCAAGAAATAAAAAAGTTTTACTTTATTTCCCTGTTCCAGCTGCTAACCAGTGTGCAGCAAATCACAACTGCTCTCACACCTGTGCCAGACTCAGTGGTAATGACACCTGCCAGTGTCCCAAGGGATACGAATTGGACGCCTCTGGCAAGAATTGTACAGGTGAGATAATGTGGAGTACATCATATATTAGAACAAATTAGATAATAATACTGAAGATGGACTTACTGGCTGGATGGTGATTGTTTCTGGATTGGATGGATCCATAAAAACCAGGCATAAATTGTACAGCTAGTAGATATTTCATTGATATCAAGCGGTAAAGGTGTCCTCTACATGTATGTTAACCTTCATCTTATACATTGTACTTTTTATTACAATAGACAGCGTTCACATTTATATGTATTACTGATTTTGTTAATTTTCATCTAATTATGATTCATAATGTAATGTTATTGAGACAAAATGTATATTTATATTACCAGAGTTTTCAAGCACTTTTTTAAAGGCGAAAACTGCACCATTCTTTCAGATATCAATGAATGTGCCTCCAATGCTACCCACGGGTGTTCAGCAGACAACAATGTGATATGTGTCAATGATCCTGGAACATACCACTGTGTCTGCTCCAACACTTCTCTCTACCAACAGGTAGAGGCCAGGAAATGTATAGGTAAGAAGCACTCAGATTACTTGGGTTATGTAATTGTATAAAACCAAATATGTAAATTTATGACTAGTAAATATATATATGTTTTACTGATGTAGGATGCAATTTTATATCTATTTGGTATACATCTGTGAAGATATGAACATTATTCTGTTATCAGAATGGCTGGTCATTAATGATTATAATAATTTTTGGGCTTAATGTAAGGTTTGCTTCACATGTTTCGTTGGAATTCTACTTAAAAAAAACAAAATATCAATTAGTTACATTTGAATTTGTTTTGAATACTTGTAAATCCATTTATCATTGAAATAACTCATTTTAAAAATTTCCCTTCCAGACATTGATGAGTGTTCATCAGGAGGGGGCGCCACATGTCCTGCCTTTTCCACATGTGTCAACCTGTCACCAGGGTATCGCTGTGACTGCCAGGCTGGATATAACAGCACTGGGGGACTGTGTCAAGGTAAGAGGAAAATATTATGTGACATTTTAAAAAATAAATTTTAAGTCTGTTTATGTGCTCTGTGTCTCAGATATTCAATTTATTTACATTATCACCAGCATGTGGTGAAGCCAAAGTTACAAAATTAAAAAAAATATATATGTTAACTGTTGTGGTTTTTGGTACAAACCATGCCATTTCATGTTTAACTGGTTGGTTCTGAATCAGAGAAGTTTGGGACTAGTTTCAGCTGTAAAAAAAACTTAACTGTCATAACCTGGTAATATTACATGTACCACTCACTCACCTTGGTGGTCCTTTAAATGCATTCTTTCTCATTTCTGACATGGATTGTCTCATTACAGATATTGACGAATGTACCTCAGGAGCCCACAACTGTCACCCAACCCTTGGTCAATGTACCAACACTGCTGGTGCCTATACATGTGCCTGTATCTCTGGCTACTCTGGGGACGGCATCACCTGCTCCGACGTAGATGAGTGTGCAGCCGCTGATGCAGGAGGTTGCGATGTTGCTCGTGGTCGCGGTACATGTGTGAACTACTCTGGAGGATCTAACTGTACTTGTATATCTGGGTACAGGCTGAATGCTAATGGAAAGACTTGTGATGGTAAGTGATAGGCATTTGCAATAGATATTTATATTGTCATACATATGTAGGTATATTTTGATTTTTTCTCTATCTTTATTAGAATATAATTCACAGTGTTACAGTATCTTTTTACAATACCTTTTGCTTTCTTTTACAGAATGCTGTTTCTTCTTTATATTTGATTATAGGAAAAAATGTAAATTTTTTTAAATTGCACAAGTTAATGTAATAAGATATATATTTCTTCACTCACTTTTTATTCCAATAAACAATCTAGGTAATTTTTATTTCAGACTTGAACGAGTGTGACCCCAGCAATCCACAACATGACTGTGCCCAGCTATGTAACAATGTGCCTGGTGGCTTCACATGTAGTTGTCAACCAGGATTTGCTCTGGCTGCTGATCAGAGAAACTGCACTTGTAAGTGTTCTTTATATCTCCTCCAATGAAACCTGTATGAGATTCATTAAAGATGAACACAATGTATGCTACTGTATGTTGACTGATATTTGGCCTGGAAGGCCATTTTTATTTATGCCAGGCTCAAATGGGATTGTTAGATTTTATGATTTTACTGTGAACCAAGTGATTTGAATTTGCTGTTACTGCTGATCAGAAAATTGTACTTGTTGTTGTTCTTTTGTGTCTTCATTTGATATGACATATGTCAATGTAACCTCAGTCTGTTATCAGTCATGTTAAGAACATTGTATTAAATGGTATTCTCATGTTAAGAGTAAAACGTTTTAATAGAAAACTCTAATTTTTTATTTGCTTGAAGATTTTATTTCCATAGTGGATTAGACATACAGTAAGAGCCTGTCTTCAAGTTAAAGTTACTACCTTCCTTGGCAGCAGTATTTAAGCAAAATGTGGGCTGACTTAGTACAGTGCTTGCTGTTTTAGAAATAAAAGCCTTAATTCACATTTTTTCTTTTTCAGTACTTGCAGAGTGCCCAGCTAACAACACCTGCAGTGACTTGTGTGCCATGGTACTGGGACAGAGCATCTGCTCCTGCAGAAATAACTTCTACAAACTCTCCTCTGATAACCAGACTTGTGTTGGTAAGAAGAAAATACTGACTGTTTGCTGGCGTTATTCATAAATCATAAGTTCATAAATCATTATAGTTCATTCATAAATCATAAGTTCATAAATCATTATAGCAAAGAGGAAAAATGTACTTTTTTTAAATTTCAAATTATGACATGCATCACTATATTATTATTGTGCACATGTGTTGTACATGTAGCATTTAAGTTGCATATTCATCAGGTGTGTATATGTAATGTCCCTGTTTATAAGTGATCCAGTTGAAGTTAAAGACCTTTCCATTTTAAATGGGATAAAGGATTCAAATAATGTAAAGCTTTATGTAATCTCTATTCAGATGTGGATGAGTGCACTGACAGCTACCCATGTGTTGGGAACAGCAGTACATGCTTAAATACCAATGGTGGCTTCTCCTGCAACTGTACCAATGACTACATACTTGGAGCTGACAAGTTGACTTGTGCTGGTATGCTGGTTACATAAACTATATGCCTATGTTGAGATTTTTTGATTATTTTAAAAAAATATTTTTAAAATATTAATGTGCAATTAGTAGTCTTAATCAGATTTTGCTGTTGGTCATTGATAAAATGATACTGCATAAATAGCATATATCATTTTAGTAATGAACCTGTCTTTTTAAGTCATGTGTGTTTGAAAATTTTAACTTGGATGCCAATCCTCAAAATCTTCTATTTGTCAGCAAGTTTAAAACTACATGTTGCATATTTAAGGATACTTGTCATTGCTTGTGTATTTAAGTAACATTTTCAAAAAGTTTTAGTGACTGTCTTGGAAATTGTATCTTACGGTATAATCGTTGTCCCAGTCATGCCAACATTCTAAACTGCTCTCTCTGTGACAGATCGTAACGGTGGTCTTACTAGCTGGACTAGCTGGGGAAGCTGCAGTGTCACGTGTGGTGGTGGAACCCAGTCCCGCACTCGTTCCTGCACCAACCCAACTCAAGCTGGCAATGGCCTTCCATGCAGCGGACTGACCAGTGAGACTCAACAGTGTAATACGGACTCTTGTCCATGTAAGTGTGCTAATTGTTAAATTGCATGATTGTTGTTGCTTTTAGATATAATCCCCCTATTCTTTACTTTGACCTACAATTATTTGTTGATTTAAATTTTTTTCTACAATACCCAGTTTAGCATGCAATTTAGTCTCTCATGTAGAGAACATGAAACTATGCTATATGACAAATGTAATTGTATTTAGTAATTGTATAGAGTAAATTTTTTAGCGCTGCAACTTCTGTTTTTNTATGTTGACTGATATTTGGCCTGGAAGGCCATTTTTATTTATGCCAGGCTCAAATGGGATTGTTAGATTTTATGATTTTACTGTGAACCAAGTGATTTGAATTTGCTGTTACTGCTGATCAGAAAATTGTACTTGTTGTTGTTCTTTTGTGTCTTCATTTGATATGACATATGTCAATGTAACCTCAGTCTCTTATCAGTCATGTTAAGAACATTGTATTAAATGGTATTCTCATGTTAAGAGTAAAACGTTTTAATAGAAAACTCTAATTTTTTATTTGCTTGAAGATTTTATTTCCATAGTGGATTAGACATACAGTAAGAGCCTGTCTTCAAGTTAAAGTTACTACCTTCCTTGGCAGCAGTATTTAAGCAAAATGTGGGCTGACTTAGTACAGTGCTTGCTGTTTTAGAAATAAAAGCCTTAATTCACATTTTTTCTATTTCAGTACTTGCAGAGTGCCCAGCTAACAACACCTGCAGTGACTTGTGTGCCATGGTACTGGGACAGAGCATCTGCTCCTGCAGAAATAACTTCTACAAACTCTCCTCTGATAACCAGACTTGTGTTGGTAAGAAGAAAATACTGACTGTTTGCTGGCGTTATTCATAAATCATAAGTTCATAAATCATTATAGTTCATTCATAAATCATAAGTTCATAAATCATTATAGCAAAGAGGAAAAATGTACTTTTTTTAAATTTCAAATTATGACATGCATCACTATATTATTATTGTGCACATGTGTTGTACATGTAGCATTTAAGTTGCATATTCATCAGGTGTGTATATGTAATGTCCCTGTTTATAAGTGATCCAGTTGAAGTTAAAGACCTTTCCATTTTAAATGGGATAAAGGATTCAAATAATGTAAAGCTTTATGTAATCTCTATTCAGATGTGGATGAGTGCACTGACAGCTACCCATGTGTTGGGAACAGCAGTACATGCTTAAATACCAATGGTGGCTTCTCCTGCAACTGTACCAATGACTACATACTTGGAGCTGACAAGTTGACTTGTGCTGGTATGCTGGTTACATAAACTATATGCCTATGTTGAGATTTTTTGATTATTTTAAAAAAATATTTTTAAAATATTAATGTGCAATTAGTAGTCTTAATCAGATTTTGCTGTTGGTCATTGATAAAATGATACTGCATAAATAGCATATATCATTTTAGTAATGAACCTGTCTTTTTAAGTCATGTGTGTTTGAAAATTTTAACTTGGATGCCAATCCTCAAAATCTTCTATTTGTCAGCAAGTTTAAAACTACATGTTGCATATTTAAGGATACTTGTCATTGCTTGTGTATTTAAGTAACATTTTCAAAAAGTTTTAGTGACTGTCTTGGAAATTGTATCTTACGGTATAATCGTTGTCCCAGTCATGCCAACATTCTAAACTGCTCTCTCTGTGACAGATCGTAACGGTGGTCTTACTAGCTGGACTAGCTGGGGAAGCTGCAGTGTCACGTGTGGTGGTGGAACCCAGTCCCGCACTCGTTCCTGCACCAACCCAACTCAAGCTGGCAATGGCCTTCCATGCAGCGGACTGACCAGTGAGACTCAACAGTGTAATACGGACTCTTGTCCATGTAAGTGTGCTAATTGTTAAATTGCATGATTGTTGTTGCTTTTAGATATAATCCCCCTATTCTTTACTTTGACCTACAATTATTTGTTGATTTAAATTTTTTTCTACAATACCCAGTTTAGCATGCAATTTAGTCTCTCATGTAGAGAACATGAAACTATGCTATATGACAAATGTAATTGTATTTAGTAATTGTATAGAGTAAATTTTTTAGTGCTGCAACTTCTGTTTTTGTGTCTAAATGCCACCAGAGTGAAATTTAAAAAAACATTGTTTATAATTGCTGCCTAGCTACATGAATGAAAATGCACAGGAGTTACTTGCATGTTTAATAAGATTCACAAGTTAATGGCTTTCTTGGTCAACATTATATGTTACAGTGTATTTGTAATTGGAAGTTGAAATTGAATGCAAAAGTTGTTGAATCTTTCAGTGAGTCAAGCTGAGGAGGATTATGGTGTTGTTGTGACAATCTCTGGAGTGACAGTAGCTCAGGTAAATTATTAAATTAGCTATTGATCAAATGAGTAATTTATTTATTTATTTATTTATTTATTTATTTATTTATTTATTTATTTATTTATTTATTTATTCACTACCATGCAATGGTGAAAAGTAGTACAGGGACCAACATGCATGCTTAAAATATGTGCATGAAATGGGGAAAATATATAACTTGTATATTTCTCTTTTAGCTCACAACATCTGTCCAGGACTCTATTCTCTTGAAGGTGGTTGAAGCATTGAATTCATACTGTATTATTGAAGGGAATTTTGCCACATGCTGTCCTAATAGTGGAACTAGGTACTGTTCATTTAGTTTGTTTTAACATTTTGGTATCAGATTAATCATTGCTCTCAAGCAATAAATGATGCTATATGTTTTCTTTTTGATTTTGTTTGGTTCAACTTCTGTAAAATATAAATAATACAGAAAAATCAGTTGGAATAATACTAGCCTTATTTAAAGTGAGATGTTGCAAAATCTATTATCTGCTGATAATTTTAAATGAGAAGTTCCAAAATTTATTAGCAGCTGCTAATTTAAAATAAGTCGCAAAATTTATAAACATTTGCTACGTACAAACATTTCACAGATAAGTTTTTTGTTAAAATCATATACCTAAAATAATATATGAATTGCAGGCAGAACACCTCAGCAACCAACCTGGCCTACACTAACACAAGCTATGTCCAGATGGGAGCCGGGTTCCCCAGGGTGAACTCAGCTGATAATACCAAGGTGGACCTCCTGATTGTGGCCAAGGCTCCACTGGACAATGACGTCTGTGCTCTGGGAAGTGGTTCTCAGTTAGGCAGGAAGAAGAGAGGAGGTATGATTATTAGCTTGTGGAGTTTGTCCTTTTTAATCTCTGAATTGGTAAATTGATATATTTATATGGATTTTTTAATGTTTTTTTAAAATGGAATTTGTTGCCTTCTTTTTACTTTTCATCAATTAAAAAAGCAAATGTATTTGTAATATTTAACAGATGCACTGTTATTTGAAAATATTGACAATGATTTTTTTTTTTTTAAATAGTATTGACTTTCATCAAGTAGTATGACTGTGTATATTTCAACATCGGTGAAAAAAGATACACTGTAATAGTATCATCTGTTATTGAAGACAAAGCTTTCAAATGAATATTACAGAAATTTATACACTAATTTTTTTCAAAGTGCATTTAAATAGATATTTTTGTACTTTGCCATTCCAGTGACAGTAAATAGTGGTGTGGAGTTTGCCTTTCCCCAAGCCACTCTCACTGCCCTGGTGCAGCAATCTTCCACACAGAGCAGCATTGTCACTGCCATTGTTACATATTATCCTACTGCTACTGTTGCTGTTTCACAAGTCCAGACTGCTGCTGCTGCATACCCGTCTGTTGTGACTGTTGTTGTTACAATGGCTACTAATAATTTGGTATGTATTTTACCTGTTTTTCACCTTTTTTAATGTAAAATTACTGGGTGGTTTTATTTGGCAAGATTGTAGGCTGAGCTCCAAATTGGACTCTATCAAATTTTTTTTTTCTTTACATAATTGATTGGGGTTTTCCTCTTGTATGTATAATATTAATTTTGATAAGTGCATTTATCCAAATAATAAATTTATTTTAGATTAAACCTGCTCCGATGGGCCTGGGTAAACATTGAAAATAGATATGATCTTCTGTTAACTATTTCATTCGAAGTGAAAACTGCTGTTATCCTATAAGTACATTTAAAAAAAGCATTTACTCTTGCAGTGCTTGTGGTCATTTCTGAGGAAAGATATAAAAATGAATATTCATGCCTTCTAATAAATTATTTAATATATAGCATTCCATTTCCTTTTCCCTTTAAGACTACTACCATGAATTCCTCCATCACAACAGAGGGTACTACACCGGTCAATACAGGCACTGAGGCCTGGGTTATAGCAGTGTCAGTGGTTGGGGCCATACTGGTGGTCCTAGTGGTCATCATAGTGGTCTTGGTCATTCTGAAAAAGTAAGTATATAGTAGTAGTATAATTTTGTTATTACTGTATGTATACAATATGGTACAGCAAGCAGAACACACATACAAAAAATATATAATATCAAATTACATCTGGGCTACGTTATTCTTATAAGTTTAATGGCCCACAAAAGATTGATGGTCTATGATGGTCTGATAAGTATTTTGTGTTATGAGTGTTTAAGCCCCTATTCTCTGTCATTTCCTGAACATTAGCTATTTGAGGTTCAACATTTTTTATTCGAATATGCTTTAATTAGTATATTAGCTCTTGATACCTAGTACTTTACTTTAGAATTTTAAGAAAGTTTTATGGTTCACATTATAATAGTTTTGTCTGTTTCTCAGAAACTGCTAGCTTTTATTGAGTTACAATTTTTATTATTTTTCAGACCGCAGAAGGTTTCCAATTCCAGTGGTGAGCTGGGGGCTGAGACATAAATCAGAGAAAATGGTGTAAATACATGGATTTCAGATATTATTTACAGAAAATTATGATATACAATATTCAGGTTTGGAAGTTTATGAATATTTTTTATATACTGAAGATGATGAGGATATGATAAATTTGTGGTTTAAACAAATGCATTCCTTTTTTAAATAAAGATTGATTCTAAATGCTATTGAATATACGATAATGAGCAGCCATAAACTGTGATGTTTTTTTCTTTTTTTGCATAATCTCTATTCCGTCCAATGTAGCTTCAGTTTTTGTGTAGTGTGTATAGATAAGTCTTTTTTTCCTTATTTAATATGATAAATTATCATCAGAAAGAATAATTTTAATCCCATTTAGATATAATTCTTACTTTAGTTTGTAAAACATTGAAAAAAGAAAAAAATGTGAAATACATATTTAAGAAAACTAAAATGAGTTTTTGACGTTGAGTGAAATGAAGAGGTGGTAGAGTAAGCTCTTAATGAAACTTGACTATTATTTTAACTAGTAATAAGGCCTAGACTGAAAAAAGTTAGAAATGTGGAATGTTGTATCCCAACATCTTTTATCTCTGCCGCTCTTACGACAAAGATACTTTTAAATGGTCAAGTGGAGAAAGAGAGCCACTCCCTCTGTCTTCTAGTACACTCCGCCAGCTCATTATAAAGATATATTTTTATAGTACATCACATTGTTGTAGTGCTTTTTTCTTTTACAAAAATGTACATTTTTTGGACTGTGATAAAGATTTTGCATCGATGATTTTATTATTCATTAGTGATGAATCTACATGTAGTAAAAATTATATTTCTGTGATGCACTTGTGATAATACCATATTTAATCGAGATTTTCTTAATTGAAGAAATGATGTGAGACTTCAGCTTTTTTATTCAGTAAATGTACAGTGTTGATGTGAGTAAACATATCTTTGAATGAAGACGCTGAAGTTTGAATTACAAATGTCTGAAAACTCTGTTGAGAACTAGTAGAAGTTGCACTTTAAAGATTTGACGAGGAGGTCTCTAGTCAGCAATTTACTTTCTTGAAGCATGAAACGGGTTGGTATTTGGGTAGAAGTCTATGGACCAGAACAGATTAGAAATTCTGTTGAATGATTGCTGACAAGAAAAATAATGCATCATTGTGGATAGAGGAGTCGGTGTATCTTAATTTATCTTTGAAAAAAAATTACATTAATTTAGTTTTATCTCTGTATGCTAGACATGATGTTGTTCCACTGTACTGGGAAACGTCAGTTTATGATGGTTTACGTACTAATCAAATAATTGGCTATAAGTCAATAACAATCATGACTGGATGCAAGCAGACACCCGAAACCCCAGGAGAAGGTACCCTCTACCAGGGCCACAGATTGATTTTTCACTAGTTATTCACAGAAAATGTCTCTGGCTAAATGTGGTCAATCTTCTAAATATAACTGGCTGGTGGAAAATGAGCCTATAATATCTGCCACCCTGGAAAAGGGTATGGACAAGTTGAAAGAGATTTGAATTAAACTAACTGATGATTCCCAGGGTACAGTATTCATGACTGTCTCAATACTGGATTGCTTTTAAGTGAGCTGGATGGTGGATTGGCTTGTGGCCGCTCTGATGAAAGCTCACAAAGGTAAAAGAACTTTTAAAGATATGTCTGATCGTAAATCGCACTTCTCTTGACATTTCTCCAGAGTACTAAAGGCATGACTTAAGATGCTACTTTACTCATAAATGATAGTGTTCTCACACACCGTGAGGCTGATGACTTTGTGAATGTGTGGCAACTCTCACTGCACTGTATTGATATTGTATTTTGCAATAAAATATTTTTAAAAAACATTTTCTGTACTCAGTCTTGCTGTACTTGTCCTTATAAAACCATATGTATGTTATTTATGCCCTGAATCGAGCAACAGTCACAAACACTTCACATAAAGTATGTTTTCTAACCTTAATCAAAAGTCAAAAATGGATTGTAAAATAGATATCCTTTATATCACTTCCTACACACCCGTCACCCGTCACATGGAGAATCTGATTTTTCATACGTGACCTCGAGGTAATGTCAAACCACCCGCACGTCATGGAATAGGACGGACGGATGGACTAAAATCTCTGAAGCAAAAAATCTGAATATTAACTATATCTTTTAACTTGCACCTTTTAAGGGAGTCATAGGAACGTTAATGAACTCTCTCATCGTTCAGTAGTTTTATTGGCCGTGTGGTAAGGTCCACCAATTCTAGACAATGGACCCTGGGTCGCAAGTCGGCCAGGCAACCTTTTTTTTCTTTTTTGTTTTGTTATGACTATTTTTCCTACCCCTCCCTTTTTACCTCTAATAGATAAACCCCAAACAACCATTTTATGTTTATTTAACTCCAATTGCTACTTTTTCAAAATGTACAGAAGCTCAAATGAAAGTTGAAATAAATTGAAATTCAGTTAAAAAACAATCATACATGTATACTGATCCAGAATTTTAAATATCAGGACTTCTTCGTCCTTTTAGTATCTTTTCGGGTAATAGGTATACTTGTGTTTTTCCTTCTCTGAATTTATTCAGCTCGACTTACTGAGTGGACTGAGTGCCACTGCAATGGACTGCAATGCAACCCGGGGCGCTGAAGTTAGTGTCTAGTTTCGCAGATGGTTGTGTACGATAAAATATCCTAAGTAATTAATAATAACTTTAACTATTTTTTACACAACATGTTGTAGATTTTCTTTATGAATTTCCCTCAGTTAGTTATATGCAATTAAAGGGATAATAACTCTTCGTATGAGATCTATATTTCACCATAAAAACATTGTGAATAACTCATAGAAATATAATATATTCTGTTTTACGACAAAAACAGCAGTTATAGATATTATTCTGATATCTGAGCTTGTCTTCAGATCACGTGACCTCCATTGATGGCTATGCTCTGTTGTAATCACTTAAGATATTTTAACAAAAAACCAAACTTTTTAGAAAAAAACCAGGGACTAACTTTGAATGTAAAAATGGATTCATTAATCATTGGTTAATATGGGAAAATTGTTGTTTACTCCAGGAAAATTTATTTTTTGGCCAAAACGAAGAGTAATTATCCCTTTAATGGTTTCTAAATGAGGTTTAAACAACGCGCCGAACATTTACTTTCAGAATTTTCAGAACAAAAATAACTTGATATAATACAAATATAGACCAATTCTTTAAATTATTATTTTTAATATGTGTCTTATTTGTGCACAGACAGTTAAAATATTAATTCTGTAGAGTTTATTTATGGAAAATTACCTATGACTGTAACATTCAAGACAATTCAATAAACTTGTGAAACTTAAACGTTTTCCTTTAAAAGAGTTCATCTATGTTTCAAGAAGTAGAAAGAAAGAAAGAAAGGAAAAAAGAAAGAAATATCAATAACCTTATGGCTACGCTGCACCGTAAGTTTGAATGAAAATTCTGTCTGTTCTATCACAATCCCGCCCAAGTACGTTCATTCGACTAATGAAAGCTAATTTATATCCCCAGTCACGCAATATCAAGTATGCTGTCTTTAAAATGCGTTTTTATTTATTTATTATTTATGTTGTGTGTGTGTGTGTGTGTGTGTGTGTGTGTGTCGTTATGAATTTATTAACTCTTTATCCTGTTTTCGAGATAAAGACTTATTGTACCTTCTCAAAAAACCAGACGATAATTCAAACCGAAGCGTCCGCACGGAAAGTAGGTGACCTCTTCATTATTATGTAAATCAGGTGAGCGTTTGGTGAGAGGTGCTCAGATAGGACCAAGGTCAGTAGAAGATGGAGAAGAAGGATATTCCATGCCATATTACTGCTACTGCCACATGTAGACCGAAAATGGCACTGGACCGGAAGCAGTATCTCGTAAGTTCCGTACAGATGATAAAAAATGTATTGTAGCATTTCTTGGTTTTTCATTGACGATATTTTCCCCGAAATGGTGCACTCTAGGCATAATGACCACGTGGACATCTAACTGACGTGAAGCCTTAGCTTTGCTTAGCTTTCCCTCAGTGCCTTTTGGGCACCTTTTTGTTTCTGATACCATAAGCTTTCCATGAGGGTATTATATATTTGTATAACTTTAAAGCTTTTAAGATTAAAATTGCCATTTTTTAATTATAACGCAAAGGATACTGACAAGAATTGCTGTAATGAACATGTACTACTATATCAGACCTTTACACGTTGTTTCATGAATGTTAATTTATTCCTTTAATTCCAGTGACTCTAAGTGCCGTTGACGAAGATCCCAGGAGTGTCCTACTCAGATAAACGTTTCGTGTTCGACCCATACAGTCCCCCACACCCATGCCAAGATTGCCTCCTATGCCGACGTTTGTCTGCTTGTTAATTTGCAGGGACGACATTTAGTACGGTTATGTTTGCTTTTGGTTGTGACATTCCGCTCCAAAACGTACAATGTAAATCAAGCGAAAAGTCGTATGAAAAGAGTTTTTATTTATGAAACTTCTCATGGAAATTTATTCCGTACTAAGCGTCCTCCCTGCATGATGCTGGTTTGCTTCTTTTGGTAATTGTATGTTACTATGTCGTAGTACAGTGTTCTATCTGATCGTGGTGTTATGAAGGTGATGTATGTATACTTTTGGGTCAGGGTCGAAACCCGTCCCTTTTCGAACCTGAACGTTAGATTTGAAGTTTTCATTTATATAAATAATGTCTATATAAAATGATAAAGTGATTGTTTTATAATTATCATATATCAATTTCCAAGAAGAGAAATCTTTTCTATATGTCACTGAAAATATGTGGGCAAATCTGCAACTAGACACCTCGCTATGAAGTCGAAGATATAATCTAATTGATTTTAAATGATGTTGATTTCTGGGAAAGAAAGACATTGCAACCGCATAACGTAAAATGCATATAGGAAAATTTAAATTGCATTTATCGTGTGTTCAGTCAAAAAAGAGGAAGAGATGTAAATCTACAAAAGACACTGTTCATAAAACCTGTAACGCCTTAGAAATTCCAACATTATGTTACGGGCAAAATGTGTCCATGTTACTGCAGAATTGTCCACATGTAGTATAATTATGAATATGACACTGGCTGTTAATAACCTTCCTCTGGTTCTCGGTGTTTTCAGTGCTGGACGGGGCTCAAATATCTGTTTTCTGAAACGAAGTTAAACCATAGTGTGGGGTAAAGAGTGCCATCCGAAATAAAACTTAATTTAATATTACAGTAGTAGAATGGAGATCATTGTTGCGTCTAGAATAAGAAAACTGTTCCATTAGTTGGCTACAATAATTTCCCAGGATTGCGACCATTTATATGCCGTCTAGAAGTTAAATTACAAAACAGAAGTGTCGAAAAAAAAAAAAAAAAAACGGAAAATGGACTTCATTCAGACATCGT